TTCCAGTGGTTATTTTTGTTAGAGATTTGAAGCCACCTATTTCCCTCTCTGGGGGTTTCTTGGAAGAAACAGCATGCATAAAGGACAATAAAGGAGGACCGCTTTAATTCATAGCTGGTCAAACATCCAATGCAGGGCTTACTCTGCATGAGCTTAGTTTTTATTGAATGGTGTTCCTGACCCTAGAAAAACATGGTTCCTATAACATTTCAGGCTTTGATCCATAAATTGAGCTGTATCTTTTCTCAAGGCACAGCTTGTTAAGGGGTGGAGAAAAGCATATTTGGTGGGGAGAAGAAGGAGCATCTCTCCCCTTAACTTTCCCCTAATGCTTCTAAATCAAGCAGCATCATAAAGTAGGACATGGACTTTTACATTATGTGATCCTATAACAATTAAACTTGAACGTTGGAGAGAACCTCAGCGATTGCCAGGTACAACGCAGCTTCATCATATGAATGAGGTCTAGGGGTGCTAACTATTCCGCCTGGTGCCACACATAGCCAGAACCCTTTCACCTGTGAACACAGTCTTCCTCCTACTCCACCGCATGGACTCACAGTGCTCTGGAATTTTAGATGTTGCTTTTTTTTCCTTCCAGTTTTACTGAGATGTAATTACACACATCACTGTGTAAGTTTAAGGTGTACAACATAATGATCTGCCTTACATACATCATGAAATAATTACCACAATAAGTATAGTGAACATCTATCATCTCATATAGATACAACATAAAAAACTTTTTTCCTTGTGCTGAGAACTCTCAGGGTTTACTCTCTTAATAACTTTCATAGATAAAGTACAGCAGTGTTAATTAATCTATCATTTTGTACATTACATCCCTAATACTTATTTACCTTATAACAGTAAGTTTGTACCTTTGTACCTTTTGATTGCCTTCATCCAATTCCCTCCTTCCTCCCCACCTCTGGTAACAACAAATCTGATCTTTTTCTATGAGTTTTTTTTTTTGAAATACAATTGATCTTCAACACTATGTTAGTTCCTGGTATGCAACATAGTGATTCGATATCTCTGTGTATTTCAAAATGATTACCATGGTAAGTTTAGTTGTCATCTGTCACCATACGAAGATATTTTACATAGTTATTGACTATATTCCCCACGCTGTACATTCCATCCCTGTGACTCATTTATTTTGCAACTGGAAGTTTGTACCTCTTAATCTCCCTCACCTATTTTTATATTGCTTTCAAACAAGAAGCTCTTCCTTCCTGAAGTTCTGGGATTATTATCTATATGGGTTACTGGGCCTTGGCTTCTTTAACCTAAATAGGATTTTCCTGTTACATTAATTGCTTTTGAAGGTGACCTGAGCACAAATAACTATTTTTAATCTTTAAAAAGATTCTATTTTCTTCTCACTTACAGTTCTCCCTATTGTTAGGCTCCCAGCCCCCAAGCTGCCAACCTCATAGAAGGTTTTTTTTGTTTGTTTGTTTTGTTTTTGCCTTTGACCTATTCAATTGCTTTCTGGGTGACATTGGGAAAAAAGCCCCGAATGAAACACATAATTTTAAGGGATATTGCTTTTTGAATTTTCTGAAGCCTGAGAGTCAAAAGAACAGATTTTATTAATGTTGACTCAACTGAAGGATGTAAAGATTTGTAAAACTAGGGGTTATGTTTGTCTTTTAATACATGCATGTAATTTCAATTAGAGTTACATTCATCTCATAAAGGAGGTATTAAATTTTGAGGGGTGGTGGGCATGATCGAAGAAGGAAAGGAAAGCAACCATCTTCTCTCTCAAGCTGCATCTTTTTGCTTTCAAAGGCACATTTTCCAAAGAACATTGTTAACACCCAGAGCATGAAGCTGATCAGAGATAATAGGAAGCAATTTCCAGAGATCCAGCTGAATAAAGAAATCCATACATTCCATCCCATGTCGATAAGCATTTGGACTCATAGGGACATTTGCTCAGAACGCCTGTGGCAGCTGCCACATCTCTCAAAACGCTGCTTCTAGGCCAATGATCTTTTCATTCTCCTGATTCCACCTGAAGAGGACTTCCATCATATGCTCATCTCTCTTTAATGATTTTAACACACTTTATAACTCTTTGTTCTTTTAAGAAGATCAGCCTAGCACAGATTATCTGCAGGTATAATTTGCATTACAGTATATGAGAGAGTTTACAGGGACACATGAATGGTGACACACAGGGAGCTGCTATGTCTTCATTTAGTGGGAGAATCCACTGCAATTCAGATTCCAGACAGAGAATTTTCTATCAAAATGAATATATTCCTCCCCATTCTAGGCAAGTGGCAGAGACACAGGCTTGATACACAGAAATAGGTGGCAAAAGAGCACTCAGGGAGAGAGAACTAGATTGCTTGGGGCCCCACAAATGCATAGAGAGAAAAGCCCCTGCAGGGCAGGTGGCCAACCAGGCGGGGAGCCCAGCTCCTTAGAAATACAGCCTGTAAGGGCAGTGCTCAGAATTAGTGTTGAGGAATTTGCATACTCAGTCTGTGTTTTGAAAATAGCAATGAAGAGCCTAATATAAGAAGGTGCTAAGTCAGCACAGACTAGCTCAGGATGGTGATGATTTCCCGTAAGCCACACCTGGATGATGTTGTTAGATGTTGTGAGATGATGTTAGAATCCCTCTGTTTATAATTGTAAGAATTATAAACCATTGTGTCTCTTCTAAGGAAGATCTGCCTGCCTGCTGGGCTCTCTGCTAGAATGATGGGTGGGAGCTGCAATGGGATTGGAGGACCACGGGATTTCACATTAACAAGGGAGCCCCCTGGTCTGAGGACAGGACAGATGCAGAAAGAAAGAGGGACACTGGCTTCCTCAGCACCTCCCAACAAAAGCTAAAAACAATTGAACAGAGTCTTGTTGGAAGCAGAAGCTAAGTCTGAGTAGGTTTTGGGGAAAATTAGATTCAGGAGACATGGGGCAACTCTTTGTGGGTGTGAGTTGTAAGCGAAAAGAGATGAAGAAACAAGTTTTCACCAGTTTAGCTGCACACGGTGAATGGGTTCCTCTCTCATTCTTTGAGTGGCTCCAGTGAAGATTTAAACAACTCAGCAATTAATTTTAAACATCAGACTGGTGTTTCTTTTATGGCAGCTCCATGAGGATTTAGGTCAGAAGGTGGGGCTCATGTGTAAATTTAAGCTTCTATTAAAAGTATGGTAAACTGTGTCCATTTCTCATTCATAGCTAATTCTTTTCATTATTGCTATAAAGGCCTGGATTTAGGTACTCCTCTACATAGACTGCTGGGTTGGGTGGAGGGTACTTAAATAATACTTTCTCAGCTTTTGATGTTGACAGTGGAGAGATAAACAGGGCTCCCTTCCAGAATGCCGCTGCTGGGCTCTCTGGACGTGTCCAGGTGACAAAGATAACAGCAACTGCAGCTGAGGAAAGAGGGCCTGTGGAAGGGGCTCAGGGGGCCCAGACCGCTGGGAGTATGGAGATCCCGGGAAGCAGTGACAGGCACGTGATGGACAGCTGGGGCAACATGCCACCTCTCCATATGGGGAGGGCTTCTCTGGTTCTTAGTCACTTCCTCATCCTACAGCTGCCCTCTCAAACCAAGGGGCAATGGCTGAGGGGGCCATGCTCCTACAGGTAGAATAAAACCAGCACAGACCAGTTGGGAGTTGCAGGCTAGGAGTGTTCACCAGTTATGCTCTGCTACAATATGGCGCAAGGTTCCATGACGCAGATCCCACCACTTCTTATCCCTGTGTGGCCTTGGTCAGGTTTCCTAGCCTGTCTACTTAGCTATTAGATTCCTCAGTTGCAAAATGCAGAAAATAATATCACCCACCTCACAAAGAGGTGAAATGAGAAAATCTCTAAATAACACTCAGTACAGTGCTTGGCACACAGTGAATGCCTAACGAAGCTTTTTTCTTACCATCTCTATTAGTGATCCTGCTAGTATTATCACACTAATGACAAGGACTAACCAAAAATTTTTTCCCATGATTAAACTTGGAAATCTACACCTAAGTTTGGAAACACATCTCCTCTACTTTCCCTTATTGTCACAAATATAAGGGAAGTTATGATTTCAACATAAATATGAGCATAATTTTCTGGAGGTTGGTTATCTTTGCTGGTTTCTTCTATGCCTCTTTCATTGCCCTAATCTCCTAATTCCTTTAGGGTTTGGGCCCCTTGCCTAACACCTCAAACGGAGGTGGCTGTTGACCATTTCCATGAGATCTTCTTGCACTGAGCCCTGCAGCTCTGGGCTGACCGTTGTGTTTTGGCACATCTATCGTGTATGATCATTACTTGCTTATTTGTCTCATCTGCCCTCCTTGACTGCAGCTGACTGCAGAGATGGGACATGCCTTATTCATCCTGAAAATGTCTACAGCATCTGTGCTTGATTAGGCAGTAAGTATTTCATAAGTATTTGTAAAATGAGTGAGTAAAGATACTAATGAATTATTTGTGATCTGCAATGTCCTCCATTAAATTAAAAAAATGGGGTGCTCAAATTATAAATGGCTGTTCCCAGGCCTCGAGTCAAAACCCAGGCCCACACAGCACGTGGGCTTTGTGTGTCACTCAGCCTCCCCAGGCATTGTCTCTACTTTCAACACCAGAACATTAAAGCCAGGATGATTCTGGGCCCTTGAAGCTTGACTAGCATCTGATAAATATTAATTTATGAGAGTAAATAAGCAAGTAAACTTCCTTGACTTTTGAATCAGAGAAATTCAGTGATGTGCTTGAGCATTTCTCATCAGAGGTCAACTCTAGAGCCCCTGAGCAGGAATATTCTCCCTTGCCAAGATGAAGAAGACATTAATTTGCGTGACAGCCCACTCCACGGTGGACTCTATGTCAGTGGTGGGTTTGTTGTATGTCACTCATGTTCCAGAAGCAATTCCTAATAATTCTTATTTCAACATCTTGGGAACAAGCCTCATCTCCTGTTGTTCCCATACACAGACATATTGAAATGTTTGAGGATGTGCAAACATACATACCCACGAGTGGAGTTCAGAAATCCAGTAGCACCAGAGAGTTGGGGCCAGTTGAGCTCATCCGTAAGAGCTGTTGGTAAATTGAAGAAGGATTTCTAAAGGAAAAATGAAGTAGTAATTATCAAAATGGTCACTTGTTTTCTAGAGAGTAAGACTATCTATTGCCCAGGCATTTTCTCTTTCACTCTGCTTCTTAATCTCTTTGCACTTAAAGCACATGTCTCTTAAGTTTAACCACCTTCTGAAAATTCACAATGATCAGCATCCATTCAGGCGCTGGCTTCCATTCAGCTCCTGGGAGAGAGGCAGACACACAGCAGCTCACACTCATCCCTCATTTGAGAGGGATGCTTCAGTAGATGGGTAAACCTTCCACTCTTAAATTTCTGAGATTTTTCTCCATCTTTCAGTTTAGATAATCAGAAAATCAATTGTCTGAAAAGTAATGATACTCAAGCCTCCAGCAAAAATGCCTTCCCTGTGATCAAAGCTATGCCCTCAGTCATCACGATGGCGCCTCCTGACCTCCTTGGGTGGGTGGGGGTCCTCAGACACCTTTGAAAACCTAATTATGCTTCCTTTCTTCATAAAGATGCTCATATATTCAGCATGGCCTATGATTTCAAGGGTTTCAGAGAAACCCTGCAACTCTTGCACAGACTCTGATGAAAGAATTCCTGCCATGGAGGGTTGGCAAAATTAGAATTCCTTTGAACCACATCTCTACGGCTTGTGCAAAAGCATAGAAGAAAAATGTTGCCAGCTTTGTCTCCTGATTTTTTCCTTTTATAAATGACCTCTGGGATAAACCTCTCCTTTGGTCTAATTCTTAGAAAAAACTTATCTAGACTGATACGTTCAGAATAGAGTCGCCAGATTTAGCAAATAAAAATACAGACTCTCAGTTACATTTCAGTTTCTATGAACAAAATGTGGTATATACATACAACAGGACACTATTCAGTTTTAAAAAAGGAGGAAATTCCGACATGCTACAACGTGGATGAACCTTGACAGATTATGCTAAGTGCAATAAGCCAGTCACAAAAAGGACAAATACTGCCTAATTCTACTTACATGAGGCATCAAGAGTAGTCAGACTCATAGAGACAGAAAGTAGAATGGTGGGTGCCAGGGGCTGGGAGAGGGGAAATGAGGACTTGCTATTTAATGGGTACAGAATTTCAGTTTTGCAAGATGAAAAAGTTCTGGAGGTTCGTGGTAAAGCAATGTGAATATACTTAATGCTACTAAACTGTACATTTAAAAAGGGTTAAGGATGGTACATTGTACGTTATGTGCATTATATCACAATTGAAAATATAAATATGCAAAAAATTGAATTTAAGGTAAACAAAGAATAATTTTTAGCATAAGTATGTCCATGGCAATATTTGGAACATACTTATACTAAAAAATTATTTGTTATGTATCTAAATTCAAATTTTTTTTGTTTTTTAAATTAATTTTATTTATTTTCTGGGAGGAGGAGGTAATTAGGTTTACTTATTTATTCATTTATTTTTAGAGGGGGTACTGGGGATTGAACCCAGGACTTTGTATATGCTAAGCATGTGCTCTACCACTTGAGCTATACCCTCCCCTATTTAAATTCAAATTTAACTGCATGTCCTATATTTCACCTGGGAATCCTAGTTTGGGTAAAAACTCTGAAAGCCAATGATCCCTTTTTGCCTTGGCTGACAGGAAACCTCAGTGCCTGGCTGCAGAAAACAGTTAATCTCAGGTACGTAATGTCATCTCTTCCACATGGCTTATGTTTCTCAATCTTGAAAACCTATGCCTCTTTTGGATGAAACTGAAAGCCTTGAGTTCACCTTCAATGTTATTTTAAAATAAAAATAGGGGAGGAGGATACAGTTCAAGTGATAGAGTGCATACTTAGCATGCCTGAGGTCCTGGGTTCAATCCCCAGTACCTCCTCCAAATATAAATAAATAAATAAAAACCTAATTATCTTCCCCTCGTAAAACAGAGGGAAAAAAAGAGCTATAGGATAAAAATAAATTAAAGATCATGCCTAAAGACAAAGCACATCAAAGCAATTATAGCACTGAATATAATTCTTCAAATGGCCTATGGCCCTGCCCCCTGCTTGCTTCCTCACTCATGATGAACCTCACCCTGTCTCCTAAAGAGATTCTGAGTCTGGAGGCTGTGAGGGAAGGAAAAGCCATGCTTCTCTTTCTTTAACCTCTTGAAAACATATCTTTATATATATATATATTTATTACAAAGTAGTCCATGTTTGTTATAAAAATTCAAACATAGTAATTTACAATGTAGAAATAGAAGCCCCCCAGCACCTCCCCTCAAGAGATAACTACTGTGAGATGACCACGGTTAACATTTTGTATTCTATAGATCGATCTATCTATCTATCTATCTATCTATCTATCTACCTATCTGTCGACACACACATATACATAATATATATATCCATTATATATATAATGGATATATATATTATACATATAATGGAATCTACCATCATTCTTTAAACTTGGAAAAACTCATTCTTCCTACTGTCAGAGTATGTGATAGCTCCTATCATCATATAGAGGATGAGTACTCAAAAGAAATAAAATATAATTTATATTTCTAAATTTTGGACTGTTACTGGTTAAATTGTGCTCCCCCAAAAGATAGGTGGAAGGCCACTATCAGCATGTCAGAGTGTGACTTTATTTGTAATAGGGCCATTGCCCTATTATATAACTAGTTAAGATGAGGTCATTGTGGTGTAGGATGGGTCTGTAATCCAATATGATTAGGGGATCCTTTTCAGAAAAGGAAGGAGAGACGTGAACACAGGGGGAAGACCATGCGATGATGAAGGCAGAGATTGGAGTGATGCTTCTGTAAGCCAAGGAGCACCAAGGACTGACAGTGGTCACCAGAAGTTGGAAAAGAGACATGGACTAGATTCTCTCTCAAATTCCTCAGGAGGAATCATCCTGCTGACATCTTGATCTCTGACTCCTAGCCTCCAGAACTATGAGAATAAATTTCTGCTGTTTTAAGCCACTCTATTCATGGTACTTTGCTGTGGCCACCCCAGGAAACTATGACATGGTCTGAATTGGACAATTTGCTTATAGTTCTTATGATTCAAGGGTCCGAGATCTAACCCCTTCTACTGTGCCGACGTACTTCTTGAAAGAAGTCATATAATAAACATGTTCACACACAGTGGTTATCCCGGGGGGCCCTGCACTATTTTCCATGGTTTTGTGAGCTTCCTTCACTCTCCTCAATTGCCTCCACCTTGCTGTGCCAATCCCAGGGCCCTAGCCCTATCCTTGTCCCAAGTGTGATTTTCAGAATGGTAGGGGCTGGAAGTGAGTAGGAGGTAGTTGAGAAGGACGGCTTTTTGGGATACATCTGTATTAGTTATGATTTACCCCTTCAAAGGAGCAGAAACAAACTCATGGAAAGGAGGCGCCCAATAAGTCTTGGAGACCATGGAATTCCAGTGACTGGTACTTTGCCCCCCCTTAGCAGGAGGCACCCACCACTTTTTGCTCAAAACTCTACCACAACCATGACTTAGCTACTCTCTGTTTTAGTTTCTATTTCTCCTGACACTATAAATCAAATGTTTTCTCTGTTCTTTAATCTTATTTTTTCCCTAGGTCTTTCTGCTTATAGTGTGTGCTTGCTGTAGGATTTGAGAATATTCAGTTCTGCTAGAGAAGACAAGGAAAACAAACAGGTTGGATGAAACTCATAAGATGTGTTAAGTTGAGATAGTGAGCAAGCAAGCATCTCACAAGCTTTGGGAGTCGTGGGCAGAATTTATGAGCTGTGTTGGGTAAGTCAGCAACCTGTAAAACATGTTAAAACCTAAAAGAATGATACAACACTCCCCCACACCACTCTCACCTTTTCTCAGTTATCAGCCCAATGACAACCGCAGACTTAGGAAACCGGGTATGGAATTAGGCTTCTGATTCTGGGTGAGTCTGCTCTTCCTTTCAGAGGAGGGAGTTAGGCAAGAACTCTGCTGACATAGGGAGATGTGTCTGATACCCCCTGCAGCTTGGAATAATAATGGAGGGGATGGCATTTCTGAAGTGGGCCAGCGAAGTAGGGAATCAGGAGATGAGACCTCTATGTCTGGCTCTACAAATACAGTAAAACTTCATGGTTTGGATATGACACACTGGAAATGGGTTTCATACTCCATCCAACCCCCATTCTCAATCAGGGGTGGGTAAAAAAATTTTATCTCTCTGGTAGGGGAAGAAAAGATGTTGAGAAAGGGGTAGACAGGTGAAGAAATGGCCAGCAACCCTGTCTTGGGAAGTGGGGTCTCTGTGTCCCCAGCATTCTCCCAGCTCAGTCTCTCTGGATCAACCTGAAGAAATGGTCCCAACTACCACTGGGACAGTCCTGGAGAATCCTGGACTCCGTGCTGTTCTCCAAGAAGGCCCAACCAGCCCTGGAATCATCCCCATCAGGGTTTAAACTGGAGTAGACAGAGGCTGGTGCTGAACTGCAGCTGGGACCAGAGTGGGTTTGCTTCCCACAGCTGGAGCCCTGGAAGGCCCAAGAAGGTCAGCTGCAAAGGCGTGTCCTGGTTAGTTGATTAACCTTGAAGTAATGCAAATGTGTGTTTTCCTGGTTGAATATTTCAGACTTCACTTATGGTGTTATGGAAAGGTTTTACTTCTCCTAGTTGTGGAACATCAGGGAAGATGTAGCTTTACCAGGGTCCCAGTTCTGATATCTCTGATCATTATCCTATCTACTTCAACAAGACTCTTGGGAGAATCAAAGTCAGTGAAAGAAGCAGATTGACAAGCAAAAGCCCTTCACTATGTAAGGCATCATGTTTAGGATGGATCAGCCAGTGTCCCTTTCCAAGTGGACTGTCCCAAGTTTAAGAAGAGTAAAGTTTGTTGCCAGATAATAGAAAAGATCTGAGCAAGCAAATGCAAGTCTCAACCCATCTTTTCTTCCTTAGTAAATTTGGCAGATAAAAATGAGAAATAACAGCCATTAATAGCAGAGGTTTTATAGACCCTAGCAAAAAGAGAATGTTTAAGTCATATCACATTAAACACTAAAA